TCTTTTCCATCCACTCCAGCTAGTGCATTATATTCTGCTTTCTACACCAAATTTCTTTTGATGCAGATTATCCTGATAAGTCCTTGCTGCCTGCTGTCGTGTTTAGTGTCTCTCACTCCTTGTTATTTTAACCTAAGCCCAGGTAATTATCCGTGATTGTAATTGTCTCCAGCATCAGGCAGGGTGGGGCTGGCGCGGTTATTTTAGAAAGTTCCTGGCTTCTGCAATCTGAGAAGAGAAAACCAATGCAGTGTGTGCCCAGATGTATTTCCAGGCTTTGTGTTTCTAACTAGAATTTCTGGAGCACTTTACAGCAGGCTTTGTAAAGATTTAGTCGAAAATCAATTTACAGATTCTTCTCTAATTGGCTTGGCCAGGGTTAATCTGTCACTGGCCCAGCCAAGCTGGCTTCTCTCTTGCAGCACACCGAGGATTTCCGGTTTTGCTCTTTTCCTAAGAAAGGCTTGCTGTTTTTAGAAATAAATTCTGGTGTTGGTGAAGGCCGGCATCCCTAGTCCTCTGAAGTGAAACCCAGCAGCGCTCCCATCTGATAGAGCCTTCCAAACCTTCCCTTGAAAGGAGCAAATCTTGCATTTGGCATCTGCATGCTAGAGGGTTATGCATATATATATATATATGTATATGTATATGATTTTTTTTCTTTCCAAAATTAAGACAAGCCATGCTGTTTATTTCTGCCTTGTTGAATCACATCTGGGAAATGCTCAGGCAACACCTGTAACAATGGGACCCTGTGTAAAGAGGGCTTTCATGGCTCTGGACACCCTAAAGGAACCACGGAGGGAAGAAGAGGAGCATCCCCCGTGAGGCTCCGGGTGCCAACCACACAGACTTAGAGCAAGGGGCAGAAGGTTAGAGCTTTGGTTCTGGGACCAGAATAACCAATGGGAATTATTGAATGCGTTATGCTAGTACTATGAAACAATGGTGGTGAGAAAAAAGCTGGTGTCTGGAGGATCTGCAAAGGTGAGAAAGCAATCACGGCATTTCTTGGGGACAGCATTTCAATCCCCCCGCCCCCAAGTTCATAGGAAAGAGTCAAGAACAAGTGGAAAGTCCCACTTCCCCCATACTCCCAGAAGGAAGTTGAATTTCTCAATGGCTAGGGCATGCTATGTACACATACAATCACTTAGAAATAAACTGCCCTTTTCCTCCCCACGAATGTCCTTGCCAAGTCCTTCTGAGGCTCTGGAGTGTTTACACAGCTCTGCTGGAGGAAGTCCCTATGATATGGTTTGTCCTGAGCTCATTAGAACCAAGAAGACCAACTTCAGACTGTAAATAAGGACACATTCACATATGTACTTAAATACAGACATGCATGTTACAGATTTTAGAGAATGTGTCCAATACCTGTTTTGTTTTCTTCAGTAATTCTACCCCCTTTGTTCTTCTGCCCTTACCTTTACTCAACTCTAAAATCAATTTGTCTGCAAAGCATCATTTAAAAGATATGACACACACTGAAGTTTTAAATGTATTATTTATTTTATTTATGTGTTTTATTTTGGATGTGTGTATGTGGTAGACAGAGGACAGCTTTTGGGAGTCAGTTCTCTCCTTCCACTTTGTTTTTGAGGCAGACTCTCTGTTTTTTATTTATTTTTACTTTTTGAGATAGGGTCTCCCTGTAGCCCCAGCTGTCCTAGAACTCCCTGTGTAGACCACGTTGGCATTGGCCTTGATATTGCAGAGATCCGCCTGCTTCTGCCTCGAGTGCTGGGTTAAAGGTGCACCACCACACCTGGCAGCAGGGTCTCTCTCTTGAGTCTGCACTATTGTCTCTAGATTAGCTGGCTTGTGAGCTTCCATCTGGTTTTCCTCTCTCAGCTTTCTGTATCGTCACTTGAGTGCTGGGGTTATAGATGCATGCTGCTACATCTGCCTTTTTATGTGGGTTTTAGAGATCAATCTCAGGTCATCAGGCTTATGCAACAGATGCTTTTAACCTGCTGAACCATCTCTGGAGCCCCCAGATGCTGCATTTGTAACTGGCTATCTGAGAGTGTTTGTGAAGACTTCTCCATCCATCCCCACCTCCCTTGGCCAGCTAGCTAAGTGATCATTCTGAGTCTAACATTGACACACTTGAGCTATCTGGTGCCAATGTCTTTTTAAATAATTTTTTTGCTTTATTTTCATTTTATGTTGTATGCGTGTATCTTGTGCATGTATACAACAAGTGCACCCATGTGGTACAATGACTACGGAGGACAGAAGAAGGCATCAGATCCCCTAGAACTGGAGTTATGGACAGTTGTTAGCTGCCATGTGGGTGGTGGGATTTGAACCTGGGTCTTCTGAAAGAACAACCATTGCTCTTAACTGCTGAGCCATCTCTCCAACCCCTGGTGCCAGTGTCTTAACACTATTGGTACCTGCTGGTCTCCTAGAAGCTGCTGAGAATACGCTAGACTTCTAAGACAGTGGCAGGAGATAGGGTTGTATGATCAAGAACAGTGACCACACCCCTGAGCCTGATAAATTGCCAAATCAGAAGCATTTTGGCTGGGTAGAGTTCCATGCACATTTTTTCTGGAAGCCTCTGTTGTGGTTGGCTTAGTCCCTCTCTGTATATGGACACACATACCCCTGTGTTTGGGTCCTGGCTTCTCATTCTTTATATGACTACCTTGGAATCATGAAATTTAACTAAGGGAACAAAAAACATAGCATTAGATCAGATCACCTTAGGGAATTCAAAGCAGTCCCTTTGATCTATCAGTTTAAACAGAGACTTGGACAAAGGACTGTGGCTGGTTAGGACCACATTTGAGTGTAGATCTGGGTCTCTGGAGTCTCATTTGGTATTTAAACCTTAAGTGTGTGTCTGTTTAGCATGCAACTATCTGTATATGTTGATATTGATTTCAGTAAGACTAAAAGTATACACAATACATAACCTTTTAATATTTGTGTACATGCTATTTATATATGAGCGCATGTGGAGGACAGAGGTTGACTTCAGGTATTGCTCTCCACTTTGTTTTTTGAGAGAGGGTATCTCACTGAGCCTGGAGCTTACCATTTAGGCTAGACTGGCTAACCAGCAAACCTCAAGGATCCACCTGTTTCCACGCCATCCCACGGGACTGAGGTTAGGGATACATGCTGCTGTACCTGACTTTTTATGTGAGTGCTGGTGGTGGAAACTCAGGCTCTCATCCTTGTGCAGCAAGCACTTTACCAACTAAGCCATCACCCCAGCTCTCTCTATATAACATCTATTGAACAGTTATTAGGTGCCAGACATTGTTTTAAGTACATCATAGAAATACCAATTAACTGGGTATTATTTTATGATCTTTAATTTACAGTTGATGTAACTAAGGTACAGAAAGGTTTGCAACCTGCCCCTAAGCATGTGGGGAGCCCAGCTAGACTGTAGCCTCCCCAGGACTTGGATTGATTGCATCAGCAAATGTGCACTAAACCCCCAGACTGTACAGAGCCCTTAGTTATAGTGGAGAAAAAAGTGAATAGATATTTTTTCAGCAGCACCCAATAGAGGCTCGAGTACAGGAAGGGGGTGTTTAGAGCAGGAGGCACTAGAGTACTCTTGGGAACCCACAGAAGTTCACCAGTTAGAGAATGAGTACTATATGTAAATGAAGGGAGGAGCCTGGGTGCTAGGGGGAGAATCTGGAAAGTGATAAGTCCCTTAAGTGCTGGAAGCAGGATCACGGTTGTTGTTGGGGAGGATTTTGGAGATGAGTCTAGAGAAGCAGGTTAGGACTCTAAAGCACTTGCATGCCAAAAAAAGGAATCTGGATTGCATTCAGTACTTGAAGGGGACTCCATGGAAATTTTTATATGTAGGTAGGTGACAGGGTCAGATTACAAGGGCTCTGTGCTACAAGCCTGGGAAGAATGGTGGCAAAGAAAGTGTTTGGGAGGTTGTGGCAAAGGTCCAGGCAGGGTCCAGACACCTTGCAGCTGGGGGATGGCTGTCAGGCCTTTGCTTACTGCTCCTGCAACTCAGGATGCTCTCCAGCTCAGTTTTCAGATGCCACCTGTCCATCTTTCTAGATGGTGCTAAGGTATACCACAAAGAGACTTTCCTTAGCCCCCACCCTAAGTGGACTTCAGTTCTGACTCCTTTGGCTCTCTGACTCTAGTACATTCTTCTTTATCTCTTGGAACACATTTATAAAAACCCTATTGAATGTCTTCACATGATTTTACCACTCCCCACTTTAAATGCAGCTCCTCCACAACAGGACCAGACCTTTGCCTCCTTAAATACTTGACACAGAGCCTGACGTTTCACAAGCTCTCAATAAATGTGTGATGAATGAACACTTTCCAAACAAATGCAGTGATTATAGCTACAGAAAGGAGACTCCAGAGCTGGACCTGGTGGTGCCCAGGAGGAGGGTCAATAGATCAAAGTCAGCCTAGACTGCATAGCAAGACTTTGTCTCCAAAATTATAACAACAAAACACAAAGGGTCTAAATTTTGGGGGTGGTTTTCAAAGCTACATCAAGGACTGGCAAATTGTGGCCGAAGGGTCAACATCACCCTACTTTGCAGGCTGCTTTTATAAATAAATCTTTATTGGGCACATAGACAAACCTGCATGTTCCTGTGTTGTCTGTGGTCGTTGTCATTCTAATGACAGAAGTGATTCCTGTGACACAACGACACGGTCCACAGATCCCTAAATACTTTCTCTCTGGTTATTTACTGAATTGCCAACCCCTAAGTTAGTCAACTATGGTTAGTTTCTGGAGGTAAAGGATGGCAGGAAGAAAAGTATCCCTGTTACTTATCTCCCTATTAGACCTGCTGTGCCTAATCTAGTGCTTTGCCTCAGTGACAGCGCTGGCCCTGGCTGCAGGTGTGAGAGGTATGAGAAGAAAACCTAGGGTGTAGGAGGAAGTGGGAATCTGGTGAGAGAGGTACATGGACCACAGAGAGGACAGACCTTAACTCCTGCCCCCTGCTGAAGCCTGTCCGTGTGCTCTCTCCTAGTCATCCAGTTCGGCTTTGTCACCCTCTTTGTGGCCTCCTTTCCCCTGGCTCCTGTGTTTGCTCTGCTAAACAATGTCATTGAAGTGCGGCTGGATGCAAAGAAGTTTGTTACGGAGTTAAGACGCCCAGATGCCGTGAGGACCAAAGACATAGGTTTGTTTCTCCCGAGAAGCCCCGACAGTGTGGCTTCCCCTCCACCTGCATTAACTGGACTCAGGAGGCTGGCAAAGTCCACATTTTTCAATCTTTGGATTGGCCCCTGTGCATATTCTCAGAGGTGGGGAGGCCTGTGGAAGCCACGTTATTTACCCATCACGTGTTCCCTAAGCTGCCAGATATGTGTGTTGGTGTTAATGTGTGATAAATGAACACTTTCCAAACAAATGCAGTGATTATACCTACAGAAAGGAGGCTCCAGAGCTGGGCCTTTAGCTCTGTGTTGGTACTTAAAACCTTTCCAAGCAAACCCACTTGTCAGGGGATGGGGGGGCAGGGACCAGCAAACATCCCAGGTAACTTGCCTGCAGGACATCACCCTGTTCCTCAGGCTTGCTGTTGTTTGGGGCTCAGGGTGGGAGTAACCAGAGCTGCTTTCTTTTTGTCTTACAGGAATTTGGTTTGACATTCTCTCTGGGATTGGCAAATTCTCTGTTATCATCAATGTAAGTGTTTATATTCAGGATGTTCTGGCTGTGTAGGAGGCTCTTCTAGAAAGCATGATCTCCAATGTAGGAAGCAGCCTGTTACCTCCCAGCCTTTTCCATTTGAACTTTATTTCAGAAAGCCTCCTGGTCAATGAGACACAGCAGCCTTATAACTCATCATGCTGCTGCTGGGCAGGGTGATTTAGTTTGTAATTTCATTAAGATAAAGACAAGTATCCATCAAATCAGATCTTTCCTTGCTGTCAAGAATAACGAGGAAAGAATTCTATTTATCTATCTATCTGTCTGTCTGTCTGTCTATCTATCATATAATCTCTCTCAATCATCTATTGTCTATCATCTATCTATCATCTATCAATCTATCATCTATCTATCTATCATCTATCATCTTTCTTTCTATCAATCACCTATTGTCTATCATCTATCTATCTGTCTATCATCTGTCTATCTATCTATCTATCTATCTATCTATCGCTACACAATATTAAAGTTTAGGCTGACTCTAGTCTCTGAAATTATCAGGCAGTTGGCCCAGGATCTATCTATCTATCTATCTATCTATCTATCTATCTATTATCTATCTATCATCTATCATTTGTCTCAGCATTCTTTTCTGCTCCTTAGTTAAACAATACCCTGAATGTTGCCCAGGTTGAGATTCCTAATTACAGTTCCTCCAGGTTATCAGTACACAGTCTTGGTTATCAGCACACAGTCTTAATCATCATCATGGATGGGTGACGGGGGGTGTCTGTGTACATTAAGGTGTAGAAGGAGAGGGGTCCGACTCATTGTGACCCCCTTAGCTGCCTTGCCAGACTAGTCAACACTGTAGACAAAATCCTTTGCTTTTGTATTGTGGATGGATGGTGGCCAGGCAGGGCTGCCTGTTCTTCCTTCCTAGAAAATACCAGTCAGCTAGGTATACATTTAGAAAGCCATAGCTCCTGTTCCCTCAGGAGCAAAACATTGATTCTGGCTCTGACTTGTTTCATTGATATAAACACCTGCCAAAAAAATGATTGGAGAGGTGTGAGGAGAGGTAGAATCAGTCTACTGCATGATTAATGTTTCCATGTAGGAAACACACATTTTGAGGTTTAGAAATAAAGTGCACCTTTGAAAAGAAGTAAACTGTTACTTTGTTGTGTCTGTTAGAAAAGAGACCCTCAGTGTTAATCACTTTCTATTTATGTGGTACAGATGGCAGGGTGTTTTACACCCCTGACCTTTGTAGGACTTGCTTACTCATCAATAAAATGAGACTCAGGAATAGCGCCCACTATAGGGGACCATTCTCGAAAATAAATGGGATAATGGAAGGACCAGCAAGTGCTCTGTAAATCACAGCTATGACAATTATAACCGTGTTAATTCTTACATATAGTTATGACCACACACACATACTTTTAGAAAAAAAATACATAAACTACATTTTAAGGGGCTTTAATTGTTGGTGCAGAATTTGGTATAAACACCTGCCAAAAAGATTTAAGGTTCTCTTTGAAGAAAGTACCTCTACATTCAAACACATAATCACTCACCTGCATGTGGCTTTCTCTGTGGATGTTTATGGAGCACTTAGACAGGCCAGATACCATGTGGAGTGTGTATGGCCCACCTGCAGGCCCTATACCTTTCCCCTTCTGTCTGTCTCTTCCTAAGTAAGATGAATAAAGGAATAGTTTCTGTTGTATAAGGTGCTGTAAAGTATCCAGAGATAATGATCAGACTGGGGGACTGGATTTGTATCCCTGGCTCTCCGGTGTCCCCCAGGACAGATAAATGTTGCCATCAATCTTCCCTGACTATTCTATTAAGTACCACCCCCATCACTTACTACAGGTGATTTTACTCAAAATATCTTGCATTCTGTTTCGGCTTAGCCAACAGCAATGTCAACCGAAGTGCCTTAGAGGAGGACTGAGTCTTTCAGTACCCAATGTCTCAGATTAGATTAGCATCCTTTGCTAAACAGGTTGCTGTTCCCTCTGTCTACAGTCATCACTGGATGGATTTACTTGGAAATATCACAGATGGAAAAGCTGTGCAGTTGAGCTGTGTGAGCTCAGAGGCAGGGACCTAAGCATGCTGCAGATGTGGTAGCCAGAGCACTGCCTTTCGACATAGAGCCTAAGAGAGCCAGTCCCTGAGTCAAATGGTCTCTGTGCCTTCCCCACAGCATCCATTCTGATCCCTCATCAGTACTTGTGGTTCTGCCCTCTAGGCTTTCGTCATTGCTGTCACATCCGACTTTATCCCCCGCCTTGTGTACCAATACTCCTATAGTCACAATGGGACTCTACATGGCTTTGTGAACCATACCCTCTCCTTTTTCAATGTCAGTCAGCTGAAGGAAGGAACACAGCCAGAAAACTCACATTTCGACCAGGAGGTTCAGTTCTGCAGGTAAAGTAATGTGGGGGAAGAAGATCAGAAACTATAGATCCAAATAGTTTTTAAAAAAATCTTATTATTTTTATTTAATGTGTGTGAGTGAATTGCCTGCATGTATGTAAGTGCAGTCATGTTGTGCAGTGCCTGTGGAGGTCAGAAGAGGGTGTCAGATCCCTGGAACTGGAGTCATGGACAATTATTAGCTGCCGCGTGAGTGCTGGGAACCAAACCTAGGTCCTTTGCAAGAGCAGCCAGTGTTCTTAACTGCTGAGCCATCTCTCCAGCCCCCAAAGAGTTTCTCAGAGGACCTGGAGTGTCTCATTTTCCTTTCCCCATGTTTCCTGTTCCTCCCTGTAAGTTGTTACAAACTCACTTAAAAGAATCAGCAAATACCAGCACAGTGCCTTTTGCTAGACACTGTGGAGCAGACCAAGAGCTTTATAACTGTGACCTTGTTATCAGGGCTAGGAATGACAGTGAGTCAGTAATTCTACGGAATCATGTGCAACATGGCCCATGAGTACTGTGGATGTTCAGAGAATGGGGAGATATCTGGGGACTAGAGTGGAAAAGGTGAGATTCCTGGACGGGCTGTAAGAAGTTGGATGGCAGAAGGGGAGAAGATTCTAGCATGGAGCTAGGCAACAGAGTTTTATTAAGGAGGGTACTTGAGAAGATATTAATGGCAAATAATATAAGATTTGTAAGAACTCCTTAGTATAAGCTCAAGTATCAAATTCAAATATCATGATGTATCTATGAGACATCTTGAAATCTGGTGGCAGCTTCAATATGATGTAATAGGAAGACATGACCATTCAGGTGTCACACACAAAGGGTACATTTAGGAAACTGATTTGGATTCAGAGAGAGTGATGGATTAGGGTTTGGAGAGTTCAGGCAGAGCAGCCGAGACATGAATGGGGCATAGACCAGAGTAGCAGAAGGAATAAATAGGATGAGATCAGCTATTCACAGGATATGCTGCAAAACTGACCATGATAGACAGAGTCTGAATTATGGACAGCTCCAAAGTCTGGGCTGAATTTAGATCACTGGGAAACTGTAGCTGTGTTAAAAAGGTCAGGGAAGGTGCTAAGAGAACATGATCTTTTAAAAAAATGGTTGAGCTTTTATACATTTCCTACAACACTTTTTAAAATCAGATTTAGAGCCCCTCCCCCGATCCATACCCCTACTCCCCACCCCCTCCACCGGACCTCATGCATTTCTACTGTACATGTTAAGTTCTATCCAGGCAAGCATTTGTACCCAGATATCTGTCAGTGCAAGTTCATCCACTGGAGTCTAGTCAGCCTATCTAGAGATGGTAAGTAAGGTCTACTCTTCTTTATCCAGCAGTAATCAGTCTCCAACAGTTTGCAGGCGAGGGCCAGCCTGCTGCCCATTTCCGTTGCCTCATTCTGGGCCCTTGTCTGATTGACTTGGTACGGGTCTTGTGGTCAATGCCACCACTGCTGCAAGTTGACATGTTCAAGCTTCCAGTGGCCCAAAAGCCTCTGTTTCCCTATGTTCATGGACCAATCCTGGCTCTTACAATCTTTCCAGGCCCTCTTCCACAATGGTCCCTGAGCTGTGGATGGGTGAAGTTTAATATTGAAGTCCTATCCAGAGACACACTCTGCAGTCTCTTATTTTCTAAAACTTGGCCAGTTATTGCCTTCTGTGTGCATTGCACTCTGTTGTATAAGGAAGCTTAGCTGGTGAGAGGTGAGGGACACACTAGGAGAACGTGGTTTTATGGTGCCCATGATGAGTTTGATGTCAGTCATGTGGTATTCCTAAGAGATGGTTGAAGAATACCGTTCTAGGGATCACTGAAGTCAAGAAATGGGAAGCATTGTATGATTCTCAAGAAGACCCAATACAAAGCAGAGGAGCAGAGGGAAGTAGCTCGCTTAATCCTTCTGTCCCATGGTTGAATGACAGCCACAGCCAAGCCTTGATCAAAGACCATACCTCATGTATTACAAACAATAACTACAGGAATAAGAAGGGGTCGGGAAAAGATACTGTACATCTGGTAAAGGATTTCTCAGTCTATTCTCCAGTTGTGTCTTGTGTAAAAGCTACCAACACCCCCATCAAAGCCATCTTCTCTTTTACTGATTAGTATATATGAATTAGACAAAATAATACATTTCATTATGACATTTTCGCATATATATAAAACATACTTTGGGCATCTTATCTTTTCATTAGCCTATCCTTCCCCTCCCAATCCCGCTGGTCCCTTCCTCTTCTAAATAGTCTCCTTTCTATTTTCATATCTGTTCTAAAAAAATCTAGGTTTTGTATATGAGAAGAAACGTGATACTTGGTTTTCAAAGACTGACTTATTTCCTTTAGTATGATGATCCCCAGTTCTAAACATTATTCTACAAATGACAGTTTCATTCCTTAATATGGCTCGATACAACTCTGTGTGTGTGTGTGTGTGTGTGCATTGTACATCACATTTTCTTTATCCATTCACCTGCTGATGAGTATATAAGTTGATTCGATTTCTTAGTTACTATGAATATAGTAGCAATAAATATGGATATGCATGTATCTAGGATATGCAGACTTAATTTCTTTTATATATCTGGACTATATGAATACCTCTATTCTTTTTTTTTTTTTTGAGGAACCTCCATACTGATTTCCATAATCTTGCACAAATGTATATTATCCCCACTAGCATTTGTTGTTGTTTATTTTTTTGATGGTAGCCATTCTGATTAAGATGATATTGGAATCTTAGTATAGTCAAACAGTGTTACTGTTGTGTGGGCATGCTATCATGATTTCCCTTTGGTACTCGAAGTCAGATATTTATAAGATAGTTGCTTGGGTTCAGATCTACAGTTTGAGGTCATGAATATGAGGCAATGATTTGGTCTTCCCAACTAAATAGCTTACCAACCTGTGACTTAAATAGAAGGGTGCTCTCAACTCAGGGGCAGTAACTTGAGGGCTTAACTACAGCCAAGCAAGAAAAGATGAAAAAGGGGGGACCAGGCCCATGAACAGGCAAATCAGTATATTTATCAATTCAAATCAACATAGATGTTTCAAAGGATTTGACAGCTGGGACTTCAAAGTGTCCAATTCTTACACTGAAGTTCTCTTACAGGTAGATTTACACTTACAACAGGCACTGCCCAGCGGCATCTGTGTCTGGCTGGTTTTCCAGACTGCCTGTCCATGGTGCTGGATTTTGGTCTGCTGACAAAGGCATAGTTTTCTAGTGCAGAAGGTCTGTGCCAGTGGTAAAAGACTTTTCTAGTGGGATTTGGTTCTGGCCTAATAGTGCCCATGAGGTCAGTCAAGAGATTTGCACTAAACAAACTGCTGAGACTTAGGAAGCCTTGGAGTTCTCTAAGATTGCAGAAGTTTCTGGTGACAGATCCTGAACTCTGGTCTGTCAAAGAACATAGACCTCCACTCTCCTGGGGTGTGAGAACCAAGGCTGACATGCTCTGTCTCTTTAACTGGTCTACAAGCATATATCTGCCATAGAGCACCACTGGTCTCTGACCTTGCCCCAGACGTCTGATCTCCTAGTAGCCATTATGTTTCCAAGTTATCAGTGGCTTAAACCAAAAAGGACTTTAGTGGCTCTATATTGGAGGCTGAGAGAATCTTAAACAAGGTTTCATCCCATCAACCAGTTTAAATCCAGTGTGTCTCCCTCTCCCAGCTCTACTTTAGTCAGTGTTGACTGCATTTTAAAGCTCCACATGACTCCTATCAGCTGTTATGACAAATCAAGTTGAGCTTGTATTACTCACCCCATATCACAACTGCCTCGGACCCTAAAGTGTTGTCAGCATACATGTGACTGGCTCTACTTCCTGCATCTGCCTTCAGGTTCCTGGATTTTCCAGCCAGCTATGCATGAAACTTGAATAGTCTTTCCATTGTTTCTATGCAAGTAGATGGGGTTGTGGTTGGTCAAGTACTTGTTAAAAATCATTCTGGGGCTGGAGAGGAGGCTTGATGGGTAAAGGACATGAGTTCAGGTCTCCCAAACCCGTGTAAAGCTAAATATAGTAGTCTATGTCTGTAATTCCAGTGCTCTTATTGTGAAATGGTAGGCAGAGACAGAATTCCCTGGAGCTCAAGGACCAGCTAGACTGACATGCAGTGGCAGACAAGAGACCCTGTCTCAAACAAGTATAAAGATAAGGACTGACACTCCAGGTTGTCATGTAAGCTCCCACGCATGTGCTGTGGTGCTCATGTGAACACACACGCAAACACACACACACACACACACACACACACACAGATTTAAAAAGGAAAAAAAGAACTTGCTGCTGATGAGTGAGAGAATTAGCAGTAGAGACATGCAAAGGAGGCATACTTTAATTCTATGTTTCTGCCAAGAAAACTTATCTGTAGAAAGTAAATCATCCAAAGATGAAACTGAAAAGAACTTTGGAGCAGTCACTTTTAGTACCGGTGAAGATTATAGGATCATTATGCAAATATGCTCGAAACCCTGTTACAGGTTATATAATACGGAACACAATACAATGCCTCCTTCAAGAAGCCTGAATAAAGCAGATGAACAATTAAAATACCCTAATAACTTATAATAGGGTTACTGCAGGAGCTACGAATGCCCTGCACCTCACCCAGACTTAACATTTACAGGGTAGACATTCAAGAGAGAGGAAACTTGATCCCTGAGGCCATTAGATTCTTCATTCTCCATCTTTATTATGTTTTGGGTTTTTTTTGTAAGACAAGGTCTTGTGTATCTCAAATTGCCCGGCTTACATATGGTTTTGTTGGATCTCTCTATTCATATAGTCAATCTAGTCTGACTGGTGGGCAGGAGGGAGGTGCTGATGGTGAGTATTGGGGTGCAAAGCAGGGTTTCAAGTGGCAAAGGAGGTTCAGGAAAAACTGTATTCTAGGAGTGAGGTTAGAGTGAGAAGGAAAAAATGGAAGTCAGGTCAAGAACCTGTTAGTCACAGTAATGTGTGTGGAGTCTCTTG